GCTGGTCTCGAACTCCTGAGCTCAAACAATCCGCCCGCCTCGGCCTCCCAGAGTGCTAGGATTACAGGCGTGAGCCACCACGCCCGGCCTTATATTTCATTTCTATTTGGATATAATAATGGAACTGTGGTTTTTAAAACATGAGTCATCTTTTAGAGACGCACACTGAAATATTTATGGATAAAATTATATGATGTCTTAGATTTGCTTCAAAATAATATTGGTTGGGGACTAGGTGGCAGTATGGCTAAAACGAGAATGGGCATGTCTCAATAATTGTTGAAACTGGGCCAGGTGCAGTGGCTCATGCCCGTAATCCCAGGACTTTGGGAGGCAGAAGCGGGAGGATCGCTTGAGCCCAGGAATTCAGACCAGCCTGGGCAATATAGCAAGACCCCATTCTCTACAAAAAATAAAAAATTAGCTGGGCATGGTGGTGTGTGCCTGTAGTCTCAGCTACTCAGGAGGCTGAGGCAGGAGGATCACTCGAGTCCGGGAGTTTGAGGCCACAGTGAGCTATGATTGACAGAGAGAGACCTTGTCTCAAAAAAAAAAAATGTTGAAAACAGGTGACAGGTACACTGGAATTTATTATACTATTCTACTTTTGTATGTATTTGAAAATTTCTACAATAAAAAGTACTTTAATAAAGGGAAGGGCCTGCTATAAAACAGAGTTAGTAGACATAAAAGCATATGAAAAGAAAATTATAAAAAATGAGATAAACAATAGGTCGGTTTAGTGCTGATATAAATTGTGCTGAAAGTTTGTAATGAATAAAATTACTATACATAAATTTATTTTGGTTTGCTTCAATCAAATAAAATTTGGAAATTGCTCCACCCAAGAAATTTCAACAGTCTATTTTTCATAGACTTTGGTGCTAACTACTTTATATTTTTTCTTTTGCTTCATAGATTTATAGTTCAAATCAATCATTAGAATCATAAGAGTAAATACTGGATTTATTATCCTTTATTAATCTCAACTGCTGCAAAGAACTCTCTTTAGAGGAAAAAAGGGTCTTGCACCTCATGAACTTTTCAATTTTCAGCCAAGAGACTCAGCAAGAGTGATTCTATTATATGTCCACTTAAATTTGGCAGCACAGGGAAAAAAAATACACATATACACACACCTGTAACCGAATACAAAAGTGTTTACACCTTCCTAAGGATCTAGCTTTGGTCAGACTGAAAAATACTAGAATGACCATACACCTATTCAATGGCTAAAATAATAAAAAATAGAGACAACACCAAGTGTTTGTGAGGATACAAAGAAACCAGATCACCCATGCATTGCTAGTGAAAATGTAAAGTGGTATAGTCACTCTGGAAAACATTTGGCAGTTTCTTAAAACACAAAACATGCAACTACCATATGACCCAGCTGTTGTACTCCTGGGCATTATTTATCCCAGAGAAATGAAAACCCGTGTTCACACAAGGACCTGTACACTGTTTATAGCAGCTGTTTATAGCAGCTTTATTTGTAGTAATCAAAACTGGAAACAACTCAGATGTCCTTCAATGGTGAATAAACAAACTGCGGTACATCCATACAATAGAATACTGCTCAGCAATAAAAACAAATGAACTACTAATATATGCAATAACCTGGATGGGTCTCCAGAGAATTATGCGGAATGAAAAAAGCCAGTCCCAAAAGGTTATATACTGTGTGATTCCATTTATAGAACATTCTTGAAATGACAAAATTATAGAACGGAGAACAGATTAGTGGTTGCTAGGATTAACGAAGGGTTTGGGGTGGGAGAGTTGTGGATGTGGCTAATAAAAGGGCAATATAAAGGATCCTTGTGGAGATGAAAACTTTCTGCATCCTGACTGTATCAATGTTAATACCCTGGTTGTGATATTGTATTATTTTCATTTATGATGCTACATTGGGGGAAACTGGGTAAACGGTATCCAGGATCTATTATTTTTTTACAACTGCATGTGACTCTACAATTGTCTCAAAATAGAAAGTTTAATTTAAAAAACCCTGTGGATATCAGCCAAAAACCAACCAACCAACTAACCAACCAACAAAAAACACCCCTAGGATGCTAGAGACTAATAAAATTGCCTACTTTTTTTTTTTTTTTGAGACAGAGTCTCACTGTGTTGCCTGGGCTAGAGTGCTGTGGCGTCATCCTAGCTCACAGCAACCTCAAACTCCTGGGTTCAAGTGATCCTCCTGCCTCAGCCTCCCAAAGTAGCTGGGACTACAGGCATGCGCCACCAGGCCCGGCTAATTTTTTCTATATATTTTTAGTTG